TGCACAGAGTGATTAATGACAGACCTTCTGTTGGCCTCAAAGCTATGATTTTTGTAAGGCTGGCAAATACATAAATCCATATCTGAGTTATATGAACCACAACCATTTACAGTCGAACCAACGGCTATCAAATTAGAGTCCTTATAAACCTAAATGCTAATTATCAGTCAAAATTTTTAACATTTATAACTGAAAATCTTGATCGTTTCAAAGACAAATCAGTCGTATAGAAAAACAACCTGACGAATAAGTGTTAAAAGCTTTTGTCGAACTGTCATTTTCCATGAAAAGGTTCGGTCATCCTGAAATTTTCTGAATAGTCTCGTTCCAAATTATATAAGAACGCATGATCAGATAAATGAAAGCAGAAATTCAAAAATACCTGTCCATTGATCTGAAAATGCCTCCAAATATGTTCATCAAACGATTTGAATTCTTTTGGAAACGCTGCCCTCTTTTCCCTAATAACATTACGTACGGCCAACGTTTCTTCTACACAGCTAACTCCTAAATTGGGTGCAAAAAACTTACTACCCAGAAGGAATAATTATTCTTGTAGTATGATGCCTGAACCAAACTCATCTTTAAATTTAAATTTCCTTAAATATCCAATAAAATATAAATTCAGTACACAATTCTGAACATGCCAAAAAAAAATTTCTAAAAATTACCTAAAACTGAGCACAAGGTTCCATATTTTGATCCTGAACTGCTGGAAGATGGCGAAGGCGTAATTGCAGCTTGTATGTTTACAGGCGGCAGAACCTATGACAGAAGGTATGATAGAATTCAAAATATATAGAAAGAGCTCACTCATATCATTTGAAATTTATCGACCAGAAAGAAATTCTCAAAACTGCTAAGCAAAGTCAAGAATAACGATAAATGCACAGTGTTTTTCAGTGTGCATTTACCGTTATCCTTGAACAAAGTGCATCAGTGTGTGAAAAATATAGCTTAAAGCAAAGGCGGAAACCGCTAATGTTGTGGCATAAAAACGATCGTACTCATAATGAAAAACAAAATAATGCTATATTAAAAGATTCCAATTATAGTAAAACACCTTCCTTACTTCTTCTAAAATCACATCTGCATTATCTGCAATTTCATAACAAGATAAATTTCCATGTGCAATATTAATAACAGACAGATTTTCAAATGATTTAGCCTTCGATTTAGCATTCACTTCCTCCACAGCTGCAAAAAAATTGAAAATTTATAAGAGTAATCAACTTATATCACGTTATGTCAACGTAATATAAGTTGATTTACTTAAATAGGTCTGAATTATGTGTTATACTTATTTAATGCTTCAATCCATGTTTGAAAATTTCTCTAAAATAAGAGCATCGTATCTTAAAACATGGAATGAACTAATAATCGCAATATCTCTTTCAAGATCAGAGAGGCCACATATCTCACAGATGTAAGGTCAAAAAAGAAGCTCAATAATTTCGAAATAATTTTCATCAGAAGTTTTCAAACGGTCTAAAATTTCAAATCAAAATCACAATCTTTTGGATCAAATGTACTATCTACGATGTAAAGGCAGCTTTTTCACCCAACCAAATAAATTCAATATGTAGAATTTAGAAAACATACCGGCACAATCACTAAGATTGGCATTTTGATTGCTGTTTATTGGCGTTTTTACAGTTTTCATGAGGGAGGTATGAAATGCCTGAAATACTTTTTTTAATTTCTAACAATTAATTTGAATAATACAAGCGAGAAAAAACTTTTTGATAATTTCGCACTAAAAAAATGATCAAAAGCATCAAAATTAAGGTTAATTTCCAGTGATAACATGAAATCAAACTAGCTTATTCAAATTTCAATTATATACTCACATCATTCATAGAAATAACGCCATCTTTCAACGTCGTTCTTGAGTTGTTATAAGAATTCACTTCAGAATTGGGTATCAATGCAGTGCTTGATGACGGCATATTCAAAGGATTTAAAAAATTGGCTTTTCCGTCTAGTTTTCTTTCTTCAGCCTCCTATTAAAAGTAGGAATAATTCCATTAACAAGATATTCCAAATGAAACATCAAAATTATCTGATATCTCTGTTTCTTCCATAAAATACTGTGCAGTTACAAAGAATTAAAAAAAATTAGACCAAATATCATGTCTGAAATTCCTAAAGGATATAGGCTCTTCGTAGAAGTGGAGAAGGCAAATCTGCGCAGTCTGAGAAGAAATTCATTTTGTCATTTTGCTAGAACATGAGAAAAACATACTTTTTTAGAAAAATTCTTGTTTCTCTTCATTTCCATCAAAAATTCCATGGATTCATGCGATTTTCGTTTCCTATATAAAACAGTCTATTGAAGATGAGTTATTTTTTCCTTTCACTAAAGTCTGGATATATGGGAACACGTTTTATATAAGTATATAACTGTTCTCCAGAAAAGTACTGAAATCCTACACTTATATGACATTCTTCCAATTAAGCTTTGATCGATGCATTAAAATATATATTCTATTATAAATCGACAAAGTACAAAGTTATGTAGAGCAGAAAAAAATTGTGCTTAAAAAAAGAATAATGACCTTTTTATAAGTCCATCCAATTTCATTTCATTCTTTTGTGTTATAGCTCGACTAACACCAAGCACCTCATCCGTCATTTTCACAAATTCCTCAGTATTGAATCCATTCTTGCCAAGTTGAACCCACTGCGGCATTCCTAGGAGACAGAATAAGTTTAGCGATGTTTCAAAATGGAACGAAAAAAGCAAAAAAGGCTAAGAAATCCATATCGAATTTTATTTCATCTTGAGAATAGTCTAAAGGAAAACTTTACTGATATAATTATTTCTGCACCCTAAGCAGAGAGTGCAGGAATAATTGTAGTAATCTGAAATCTGCTATCTGACTTCGAAATAAAATTAGATTCAAATGTGCAAGTTTAAATCCCTTTTTTGCATTCAAAATGTCTTAAACGTGCTAGCCTATAATTTCTAACTAAAATTTTATTTCTGAAAAAACAAACTAATATTCTAAATTTATATTTTTTCATTAAATCATAAATTCATTCGAAACTCAGATTTTTCCATTTCCATCCCACATCTCTAGATCACTGACTTTTAATCGAAATAAAAAAATCGTTTATTTTGAGATTAAAATGATATTTTTAAGAGATGATTTACTTGCTGTCATCGTTTTCCTGAACCACTGAATAGCATTCTTTACAATTTTCCATTCTTTCATGCGTCGCCAACGTTTTATCTTTCCAGAGAATTCAGATCTATCTGATTTTCCTGAAAATTTTTCAAAAATAAAACTGGCAAAAATTCAAAATAAATAAATAATTTTGTTTCAATACAACTGAGTGGCAGTAGTAAATATGTAAAATCACTGCACATACGGTTTTTCCCACATTCACTGTTAAAATTTCACATCATCTTTACTGCTAGAAAAAAGAAAAAAAGATATTAATTCTATTCAAGTTTAAGCGACTAAAATCTCGCCTAATCAGAGGACGCATTGATGCGTTTCATCAATCTAATGACCAGTACCTAAATCACTGCATCATTTCATTAAATAACCACATGAATAAATAATTTTCAGCTTACCAATTGTATGATATAAAAACGGTGTTATAAAACCCGCATGATACAACCGTCTTACAATACTTCGACTCGCTGCCCAGAATGCTTTCTTTCGATCCAAACCAAAGCCAGAACCAAAGAAGTGCGAAGCTGGTAGGTGATTAATCGTCATAAAAACGTGATGACAATTTTCATCTATAGTATTCAACATAATCTGCTGCTCTGTCGTTAGTCTGATAACTTAAAAATATGGAAATCATTGAATTTCACATGTGCCGATTTGAATAAATGACCATATTTAGCAGACAATTAATTGATCGCAGTATTTTTCTACAATTGCTTTAATTATCGTGAACATTACTAAGCTTTAAAAAGATGACTTTTGCATCAGGACTCCTCAACTTCGTTAACGAAGCTCATATAACAAATAAAGCTTAGAGAATAAAAAAAATATCGTCAGTAACATTTCAATCCTGTTTAGCTAATAGCTTTTACATAATAAGCAGAAAATAATTACTCACCACAGGTATTCTTAACGCACTCCAGATTTGTGTGCATAAGCCAATTCATTAAAAATTCCATGTAACATGGATTTTCAAAAAATTCACCTTCAATACCATTGATTGTTATTTGTTCATTAATAGCTCTGCAATATTTTAAACGTGTTTTAAATTTATACTCGTGAGCAATTACCAATGCAAATTAGAGAACAATAAGACATGATATAGTTCTGACCTAGTTTTATTAACCGCAAGATATATATCCAATTTCAAGAGTTCGTGAAAATCATTGCTCGGCGAAAACATAGGTGTAAAAAAAATGGCAAATAAAAAAAAGAGGATCAAAAAAAGATGTTGCCCTGGCATTATCAATACAGAAAACATAATCAAAATTGAGAAAGCATCTATTTACGGCTAACTTTGTGGACGAAGCTGTCGAAGGTACCGAGACTTTTTCTTGCAAGCGTTTATCATTAAACAACGAAACCTCTTTCAACACCGGCACAGGTCCATTTGGATCAATGACAGAAGGCCGTATTTCTGTTTCACCCAACAAATATGGCTTTAACTGTTGACTAAAAAGAAATATCCGTCACGCTATTAATGTTATTATCTCATAAGAAAAATCTGTTCAGCAAATGTGTAGCTATAACAAGCTAGGAAGACGAAATTAGTTTCTAGGAAAACGAAGTTACTGCCGAATTAAGAATTAAAATAAAAAAAGAGAAGACTGAACTTTTCTTATTTCATAACATAAGTAAAGAATAAATAAATTACAAAATTGGCTCGGCCACAGCAAGAAGATGCCTGAATTTTTGTTTGGAAAGCCTTTTCAAATACATTCCGTAAGTCGAAGTTTTGATAACAGTACACAATTGAATCACGCTACCGACATCATAATAATGCACATTATTATCATCCAAACATGCTCTCAAATTCGTTCTAGCCATGCTATGAAATACGACGTTACCAATGGCACAATATTGCTGCTTTCGCTACAATCGTTATACTTTATTAGTTTGAAACCTAAAGAATGTGACGTTTCTGGGCAAGTAAAATTGCTTAATTTAAAGATTGACTCAACTTTCAAAGTAACTTACGTATGAGTATGAATGCACTCCAACTTTTTGCTGTGAACAGGCACGCATCAGTTGCCAGAATTTGCCATCACTGCAACGCGAATATTAGTTTATGAACCTAACCAAACTGCCTTAATAATTAACATTAACAATCTCCTTGAGATCTTCATGCAATCCTTTATCATTGTATAATTGCGTCAAAACAACTACATTTGATAATAAATGACAGAGCTGACGAAATGCCAATTACATTTTACATATCTTCAGGTGCAGAGAATTGGAAAACTTTTTTATATAAAAACAAAATCTTTTATTATAGGATTTCTGTCTAGAATAGTTTAAGTAGTAAAGAAAAAATGCCATAAAAGAATTAAAAATTGTAATAACGACAAGATATCACAATCATTACTTACCCGACATTTTCATTTTCAATGCTTTCATCAGATGAATCCAACTGAATTATATCTATCTCAACGTTATTCCTGCCATATTGGTCATTGCAAATGTTTTGTTTATTATGAAGATAATCGGATTCGTTTTTTGCAGTCATATTGGTAACATTCTTATTGCACGTATTTCATTCCTGGGAAGGTACAGATAAATTTACAAATTCACATATGCCACAGATCAAAATTACTATCACTCGTGCACAAAATTAGAGAACATATTCAAAATTACTAGTCCATTTCCGATGTCTTTTAAATCAGGCATTTAAAAAATTCCTGCATTTATCACCCAACTGGATGATACCGAAGCTAATGGAATGAGCAAGCTGGTAGCACTTCACATTATCATATTCTGAGTTAATGTTATTCAGACCGTTAGAAATCAAAGAGATAAGAAATGTAAAGAACTCCAGAAATATATAAATCGAACTCAGATTCTAATATAAACAGAGGGATATATTAGCTAAATGAAATCACAAAGGCATATTACTTTTCTCCAATATCCAGCTTTATTACTCTAAAAAAATCATTATTCAGAATCTTTCCTTTCTTTATTTATACTTTTTTCTATCGCTGCGAAATATATAGAGATTACTGATTTTTTTAACAAAGTACACTATTTTTTACGCCAGTATATTCATACAACCTCATCGTTTCAACATGATATCTGCTTCTATTAAAGTAATAATGTTCATAATCATTTTTTATCGCCTATATAATTATGAAATGTATAGGATGTCATTTACTGCGATCAAAAAGTTTGCATATTGTCAAGGAAATCCTGCGATTCATCAAGAAATTACAATCTCTTTCAAGGAATGTAACATACGATTTTCAAGCTCAACTCTGTGAAACGTCAATCAAACACGCCCATGCAATTATAATCTCACATATCAAGAACATCTTATGGATTCATCTTGTCATACCCTCCAAAGTATTATCTACATATTTACTATTGATAAACCTTGTATTATGCGTGGAATCTAACAACTTCAAACTCCAAAAGATAAAATATTTCAGTCCTGGAATAGAAAAAACACGTTTATTATTCATTCTCATTCATGATATTAACTAATAAACGAATATAAACTTAGGGAAACAAATAAGCATGAAAATATAGATAAGAATAGAAAAAGTAAGAATACAAAAGGCACCGTGAACTCTCAGGAACAATTAATATAACATCACTCACAGTAACTTATACATAAATCATCATAAAAATCACCATTACCTACAATTTCGTTACAGCCTACAAAGACATCTATTTAAAACGCGGCCGTACGTTTTTAACGAGCGTTCAGTGATTTAAAATGTGTGCTTTTTGGTTTTGTTATTACAATTATCGTTCGTTCGTGAATGCCAAATTTATTTGAATTTTTATTTAAATTTAAATTAATTTAGGTCTAATCACAAACTGTCACTGCGTCTGTTGCATGCGCATAAAATTTCTTCAGTCCTACGCGAATCATTCTCGTCATCTCTTATTCTCATGTAAGTAAGCAGTTTTTTTCTATTTCCCTCTCATTCATGATGTTTAAAACATTTGGTAATGTATGGAAAGTTGATCGCTTGTACTGCGGCGATAGCACATTAATGGGTTGATGGTAATCAGTAACTGATTCATATTTATCACTATTGACAACAATGAAAGCTAAAATTGTTTTGATGACAGCAATGAGAGAATTGATTTTTTTTCACAGCATCGAAGATGTTTTTATAACTGTTGTAGTAAAAATTTAGTATTTTGAAAAATTACTTTTTTTCGCTTTCATAATGATGTTCAAATACACTGTGGAGGAGTTACTGTTAAAAAAAAAGACAAATTGCGTTAGTCAAGTGATTTGCTTGATTAAAATGGTTTTTACCGTAAGATTTTGCAAAAAATTAATAATATTAGCTGCCAGAGTAGATATTATTGTTAGCTAGACAAGATTATATACTATACTTTGCAGCATCAATTAAAATAATATCAAGAAAAGTGATGTCTTGCTTTGTACCAGTGAAGTTTGAGCGTTTGCCAGAATTAGCTAAACCAACTCATTATGCCCTAACACTGTCACCGGATCTTAAAAATTTCACTTTCCAAGGGCAGGAAACGACTGATATCGAGGTTAGTTGCTTCGTCATCAACAAAATTTCTAAAATTACTTTAAAATTTATCTCTTTAAGTTAATCTCCCCAGAATTAGTATATGTAAACCTACATTTCTCTAATATTTGTTGGAAAGGCACAACCGTTATTTTATACCTAAAATAAACTAGGTTTCATTTGTCAATATCTATGTTAAATAAATTTACCACATGAAAAAAAAAATGAAAATGAGGAACACGAATAAATTTCATTCAGTTCAAGATTTGTCTTTTGTTACAGATTTTAAAAGGCACGGATCACTTGAAATTGCACTCAAGTGAGATCGATATCAAAAGAGCTCAGCTTACATTGAGTGACGGATCAGGTAATTTTTTTTCAGTCTAAATTTTATTAAAACATTTAAATGGTTAAGCTTTGGAAAATAGAGAGTATTAGTTTTAATTACTGCATCAAATTTTCTGATGGAAATTTCAATAAGCACAGTGAAGCAAAATTATTTTCCAACTTTTTGTTTTTTATGTTTTGATTTGTTTGGATTACTTTTCGTTTGGAAAATATAAGATTCAGTTCACTTGGAAAATATAAAGTCAAAATATAAGGTCTCTTCTTTCAGTATTGCAAGATCTCGGTATAGAATATAATAAAAAATGGACAACTGTAACTCTGAAATTGCCCAAGCACATTTCTCCTCAAAAAGCGAAAATTTCTTTGGATTTTGTGGGTGAACTGAATGAAAAGATGCGAGGCTTCTACCGATCGAAATACAAAGATATCGATGGAAAAGAATGTTATTTAGCTTCTACACAATTTGAAGTTAGTTCTTTCCAACTCTATATTGTTGTACAGTTCAAGAATTTCTGTCTCTCTGCCTTTCCTCAAGTTTCGAAA